GCAGCCTCATAGGACAGTCAGAATGAAAACTCCTACAAGCTTTAACCAGTGCTCAGCTGGACACTGATAGAAATCAAGAGACTGCTACACCCTGTTCCAAATTATTATGCGAAATTCTATTTAAGTGTCACAAAGATTAAATATTTTGTTTTTCAGTTTAACTCAGGGATGGCATTGTGTGTCAGGGCTCTTTTTGATCACTGAAAACAATCTCGGACACCTGTGATAAATAGATTGGCAGGTGAGCCCAATTTAAGGAAAAACTACTAAAGGAGGGCGTTCCACATTATTAAGCAGAGCACCATTTACCATTTTCAAGCAATATGGGGAAGAAAAAGGATCTCTCTGCTGCCGAAAAGAGTGAAATAGTTCAGTGCCTTGGACGAGGTATGAAAACATTAGATATTTCACGAAAACTTAAGCGTGATCATCGCACTATTAAGAGATTTGTGGCTGATTCAGAGCATAGACGGGTTTGTGCAGATAAAGGCACATTGAGGAAGATTTCTGCCAGATCCATGCATCGGATGAAGAGAGCAGCTGCTAAAATACCATTACATAGCAGCAAACAGATATTTAAAGCTGCTGGTGCCTCTGGAGTCCCACGGACATCAAGGTGTAGAGTCCTCCAGAGTCTTGCAACTGTGCATAAACCTTCTATTTGGCCACCACTAACCAATGCTCACAAGCAGAAACGGCTGCATTGGGCAGAAAAATACATGAAGACTAATTTTTAAACAGTCCTGTTCACTGATGAGTGCCGTGCAACCCTGGATGGTCCAGATAGATGGAGTAGTGGATGGTTGGTGGACGGCCACCCTGTTCCAACAAGGCTGCGATGTCAGCAAGGCGATGGTGGAGTCATGTTTTGGGCCGGAATCATGGGAACAGAGCTGGTCGGCCCCTTTAGGGTCCCCGAAGGTGTAAAGATGACCTCTGCAAAGTATGTGGAGTTTGACTGACTGACCACTTTCGTCCCTGGTACAGAAGGAAGAACTATGCTTTCCGTAATAAAATCATCTTCATGCATGACAATGCACCATCTCATGCTGCAAAGAATACCTCTGCATCAATGGCTGCTATGGGGATAAAAGGAGAGAAGGTCATGGTGTGGCCTCCATCCTCCCCTGACCTCAATCCTATTGAGAACCTTTGGAGCATCCTCAAGCAAAAGATCTATGATCTATGAGGATGGGAGGCAGTTTACATCCAAACAGCAGCTCTGGGAGGCTATTCTGACATCTTGCAAACAAATTCAAGCAGAATCTGTCCAAAAACTCACAAGTTCATTGGATGCAAGACTTATGAAGCTGCTATCAATAAGGGGTCCTATGTTAAAATGTAACGTAACCTGTTAAAATGTTTAAAAAGTTAAAATGTCAAAAGTTTGATTGAAATAGCTTTTGATTTCAGTAAATATGCTGCAAACACAACAAATGACAATTTTCAGTTCTTTACAACCTATAAAGTGTTTTGAAACTTACTGTGCGTAATAATTTGGAACAGTGCATTGGAAGTGTTTTATGTTTCAAAAAAAAATACTGTTATCATTAGGAGGTTTGTTCAATAAAATTTGAATTGTACTCTTAATAGTTGATAACATGAGAATTATGCTGACTGTTATTTACATCAATTATTTAGGTAAATGAGAAAAATAGCATTTGCATAATAATTTGGAACAGGGTGTATATACTACTGATGAGAAAAGGTATTAGCAGTTTATATTTACTGAACGAATTGCATTTCCATGTTCTGTGTACTGTGGGAGACCAGATATCGTGAATGCAGGGTCCTGGGTTTAGTAACACTCTAAGGCACAGATGTCAAACGCAAGGCCCGAGGGTCAAATCCAGCCCTCCAGTCCATTTCATGTGGCCCTCAGCTGTGGCACCCCCCTCATTTCAGAAATCAGTAGAAGAGAGGAGTACAGAACTCCTCCCCCAGATCCTGCACTTCTCCATGCAGCTGCGGAGAAGCTCATCTCTGCAACCCCCCACCCCGGGTCTCAGCAGTTGGCAGCAGAGAGGAGGACAGAACTCCTCCTACAGATCCTGCACCTCTCTTTGCAGCCTCAGCACCCCCTCATCTCCAACTCCCCTGGTCTCAGCATTCAGCTGACTCCAGCCCTCCTCTGTTCCGTTCTGCAGATCCTGCATGTTCTGCTTCCCAGCTCTGCCTCCAGTAGGTAAGGGGGAGGGAGGGGTGCCCTAGACATCTAGTCTTACAGATACATCCGGCCCTTTGAGGGAAACCATAATGCTGATGCGGCCCGCCATGAAATTGAGTTTGACAACCCTGCTTTAAGGCATTGGACTCTGTATTGTGGCAATTTCTAGACCTTGGTGCAGTGTGTTGGATAGCCGCAGAGCGCATTCCGTGTCCGGAACTGTAGCATAAACACTACTGTGACCGTCTGTGAAGACTCACTTTGTGAGTAGGGCACTTGGGTCAGTATCAGGAGTTGTCTATCAGGACCTTTGGATACCCTTATTTTTTCTGTTTTCCTCTGGTTTACCGTGAAAGGGCTTGATGCTGAAGAACTGAGCAAAGATACGGTTTTCGGGGACTATCTTGGTCCTACCAACAGCTTACCGCCGCTGTTCTTTCTTGCTCTTAGTCTTTGGTGTCACATCCCAGACACTAGGGGAATAGTTCTGCTATAACAGGTTCTTCCAGCTGACATTCCACTAGTGGGTCTACTTTCCAGGGTGGTGTTCAGGCACAGAGTCTCCTTTCTTTCAAAGCTAGCTTCAGCCTTTCACCTCAACTAGGGCATTGTTCTTCCATGCATCTATTCAGCTCCAGCGCAGCAGCAGATTTTCCATCCTTATCTGGATGTAGTTTGTGATGTGTGGGTTTATCCTTCAGCTACTGCTTCTATTGGAAAGACTTACTCTTTTTGTCCTTCCTGATAATTCCTAGAAAGGGCAACCAGCTTCTACTTTTATCATTTCTCGACAGTACAGACAGATTATCATTTAAGCTTTATGGTCTCAAGGATCGGGTTGTACCCTTTCCTGTCAAGGCACACTCTGTTAGATCTGTGGGTGCCTCTTGGGCTTTTTGACATCAGAAAACTGGTTTCCAGATTTGCAAGGCTGTCACCTGGTCCTCTGTTCATGGACTTAGAGATGCAGCAAAAACAAGCTTTTTCACACCTGCCAAAGAACTAGGTAATTAAAATAATCGCAGACTGACAGGACAGTATGAACCGGGGAGTTACAGGAAGAAGGGGCAGCCGCACCACAGGAGGATTGTTTTTTGATGCGTTACTTTTGATATATATATAATTTTTTTTCTGCTGTTTAGATATATTCCTGTCTGAATATGTATGGGGGTTTTTTTTTTGTACTTTTATCCCAAGTAGACATGCGGTTTTTTTACATTTTTTTGTATATATTATTGTTATTTACATTTTGATTATTTACAAATGTGGCTTTTATCCAAGTAGACATGCGGTTTTTGTATACATTTTTTTGTATATATTATTGTTATTTACATTTTGATTATTTACAAATGTGGCTTCTAAGCCCACATCTTTTTGGGATATTTTCTTGCTCTTATCTGTTTGTGTATGTGATTTCATTTTTTTATTTTATTTTTCATTTATAATTTTTTTATAATTATTTTTATTCATTATTCTTGTTCTCTTTCTTTGTTACTCTTTTAATTCCACTTTGTTTTTCTCTTTTCTTTTCTTCCTTCCTTGTTGTTCTCTGATATCACTGTTTTTGATACAATGGTTTTACGTGTTTTGTTACAATGTAGTACACACTGTATTCATCTATCCTCCGATGTGTGGCTGACCCTTTTTCCTGTTGTATCGTGTGTGGTGGCGAGCCAGAGCCTGTACCTGTCGTGGATTGATCTGGATTGTTTGCTTGAGCGGTATACTTCTATTCTTTTGAACCAGGGAGTTTATATCACTTTGTGCTGTGTCAAGAATTTTAGGACATGTCATATTCTATAAGCTTTGCCACAACCTGCCCCTCCATTGAATTCAGTTGCAATACTCCAAAAACGCACCTACAGTATATTGTTTTTGAGGCATTCAGTGTGTATCTTTTTACGCATGCACATTTTATGCATTTATTCCTATAATCTAAGTTTTTATTTTTTTGTTTTTTTTTTGTTATGTGGACCTATTAGTGTTTTGTTATTGTTGCCCACATCTCAGTTGAACAGATTTTGCTCATCCCAATTGTCCTCTGTCAATGACCGAGAACAAAAAATGGGATTTTTGTACTTTCGATTTTTCCCTTTCTTGGAGTTCATTGAGGGACACAGATTCCATCACTCTGTGTCTGTGGTCTTGCTGCTAGTGTTGCTTTGCTTTTCCCACTGGAGGGAGTGGGAAGGGCTATACTATTTGGTTTCTGTCTTTTGTTTTCTATTTTCCGAATCCTTCTGTAGGCAGCAGTACAATTAATTTGTCTTTGAATCCTGTGTCCTTCAGTGAACTCCAAGAAATGGAAACTGCAAGTACCAAATTCCAGTTTTACTTGCCTCTCCCTTTGCTTCCATTATTTACCTTTCCTTTCCTGCCCTGTCCCACCACTGGAGTTCTCCTTTGAAGCATTGGGAAGTATCTAGTACTTCAAGGTATGTGGGAGATCGGACTCTCCTCCCCTCTCGCATGATTCACTAGGCCCAGGCATAGAGTCCATAGCCCTGTGTAAGCTCCATTGTAGTCTTTACAGGGTTTTTCTCTTCTCTCCTATTGACAAACAGGGATTAAAGAAAAGATGATTGTAAAAATCTGGGGGTTTAGGGAATTTAAATGAGCTGCAAGGGGGAAGCCACACATTCATTTTGAACTGTTTGCATTTGTAAAACGAATGAAGGAAATCTTGTGTGTACTGTATTTCTTGTTACTAGGGTGCTGTTGCCATTTAAAAAAATATGTCTAGATTACAGTGATCATTGTCTTGGCAAATGATCATGTAGTTGTGATGTATTTTGTTCTTGTTATGCTCAGTGTTTTCATTTTCTTTTATTCAGGCAGTGGCATTGGACAAGGCAAGATTCTGCAGAAGTTCCCTGAGAAAGACTGGGAAGATAACCCCTTTCCCCAGGGTATTGAACTGGTAAGAGTTATGTAATAGTTTTGAGTATGTATAGCATGTTTTGTAACCTATATGAATCATCTTAGGTGATATAAATCATTTTTATGTTACTGTTTCTATTTGTAATGTTTAATAATATTTACATGGTGGAAGCCATATTTGCTGATTATGCAAGCATGTTCACAGTATTGCTGTGTTCTATAAGCCTGTATCAGGCATTCACTGAAAATATACAGGGGTTGGACAAAAAAAATGGAAACACTATATGATATGCAGGTGTGAAAGTAATTACATGTTTTGCGATAAAAGCGGAAGCGATGTAACATTTTTTTTGCTTCTGCTGTGTGATGAGACACCTAGCTAACAAGTGGGAAGCCTCACTTTCATCATTCACTTAGCTTAGCTTCAAAGACGGAAAATTGTTGGTGCTTGCTTAGCTGGTGCCACTGTGACTGAAGTTGCCAATTTATTTGCTGTGTTGTAAAGTACAGTATCAAAGGTTATGACGGCATGTACAGTCCAGTGAAGACTGAGGTTGCTGTCTGCAGTCACTTTTGCAGCCATTGCTTTCTTATTCCAGGTCCCAATCCTGCGCAATGTCCTTTTTGTCTGTTTCGGCCAGCTGACCATGTCGACTGTGCTTATGCTGATCAGACAACATTTTCATGGAAACTGTACATGTCGTCATAACCTTCTACTGCTTCCCAACCGCCCTATAGTAGAAATACTGTTACAGGGCGGCACAGGTGCGCAAAATCACGTGTGTGTGATATTTTGCATTTCCGGGTAGGGGTGAGCGCCGCCATTCGTGGCTGTCAATCACTGGGTCCTGGCCACTGATTACTCGCCGGCACCTGTTGATTTCCGAGGATCTCCAATGCGGAGGAGAACTGTTTTGTTTACTTACTTTACAGCTCTCCTCACTGTCAGCTTGGGCACACTGCTTTGGATGGCTGTGCACAGCACAGCCATCCAAAGCAGTGTGATTACAGTGAGGCACACTGACACCGCCTCTTAGTAAAACACTCCCAGCACATAGTTAACCCTGTGATCACCCCTCTTGTTAACCCCTTCCTTCCCAGTGCCATTAGTACAGAGTCTGTGATTTTTTTTTTTTATAACGCCCTTTGTAAACGCTATACTGTAACTTTCATGTAAACCAATAAATTTACATGTCTTGGGATTTTTTTTTTTGCAAAGACATGTAGCAGAATACATTTTGGTGTAAATTTATGACGAAATTTGATTTTTAAATTTTTTGTACTGGACATGTTTAATAGCAAAAAGTCAAATATATTGTTTTTTTCTCAAAATTGTTGGTCTTTTTTTTTATAGCGCAAAAAATAAAAACTGCAGAGGCGATCAAATACCACCGAAAGAAAGCTCAATTTGTGGGGGAAAAAAGGAAAAAAATTTCATTTGGGTGCAGCGTTGCATGATTGCGCAATTGTCAGTTAAATTAACGCAGCGCCGTAATGCAAAAACTGGCCTGGTCAGGAAGGGGGGTAGATCCTCAGGATGGCAAGTAGTTAATACTGTACATCATGACACAGCAAATAAATTGTCAACTTTAGTCACAGAGGCACCAGCTAAGTGGGCACCAACAATTTGCCCTCTTTGAAGCTAAGCAAGCTCTGACATGACTCTGTATTACTAGCAGTGCATTGGGTGAATGACGAAAGTGAAGCTTCCCACCTGTTAGCTAGGTGTCTCATCACACAGTGGAACAAAGAGCGCTACATCACTTCTGCTTTCAATGCAAAACATGTCACTTTCACACCTGCAAATCATGTAGTGTTTCCATTTTTTGGGTCCAACCCTTGTACAGGTGAAAAAGTAGAATATCGTGCAAAAGTTCATTTATTTCAGTAATGCAACTTAAAAGGTGAAACTAATATATGAGATAGACTTATTACATGCAAAGCAAGATAGTTCAAGCCGATTTGTCATAATTGTGATGATTATGGCTTACAGCTCATGAAAACCCCAATTCCACAATCTCAGAAAATTAGAATATTACATGCAATCAATAAAACAAGGATTGTACATAGAACAATATGGGACCTCTGAAAAGTATAAGCATGCATATGTACTCAGTACTTGGTTTGGGCCCCTTTTGCAGCAATTACTGCATCAATGCGGCGTGGCATGGAAGCGATCAGCCTGTGGCACTGCTGAGGTGTTATGGAAGACCAGGATGCTTCAATAGCGGCCTTCAGCTCTTCTGCATTGTTCGGTCTCATGTCTCTCATCTTTCTCTTGGCAATGCCCCATAGATTCTCTGTGGGGTTCAGGTCAGGCGAGTTTGCTGGCCAATCAAGCACAGTAATCCCACGGTCATTGAACCAGGTTTTGGTGCTTTTGGCAGTGTGGGCAAGTGCCAAGTCCTGCTGGAAAATGAAGTCAGCATCCCCATAAAGCTCATCTGTGGAAGGAAGCATGAAGTGCTCCACAAATCTCCTGGTAGACGGCTGCGTTGACCCTGGACTTAATGAAGCACAGTGGACCAACACCAGCAGATGACATGGCTCCCCAAATCAACACAGACTGTGGAAACTTCACACTGGACTTCAAGCATCTTGCAGTGTGTGCCTCTCCATTCTTCCTCCATACTCTGGGTCCTTGGTTTCCAAATGAGATGCAAAAGTTGATCTCATCAGAAAAGAGGACTTTGGACCACTGAGCAACAGACCAGGTCTGTTTTTCTTTAGCCCTGGTGAGACGCTTCTGACGTTGTTTGTTGTTCAGGAGCGGCTTGACAAGAGAAATACGACATTTGAAGCCCATGTACAGGATCCGTCTGTGTGTGGTGGCTCTTGATGCACTGACTCCAGCCTCAGTCCACTCCTTGTGAAAATACCCAAAACTTTTGAATGGTCTTTTCCTGACAATCCTCTCCAGGCTGTGGTCATCCCTGCTGCTTGTGCACTGCACCTTTTTCTTCCACACTTTCCCTTCCACATAACTTTCTATTAATGTGCTTTGATACAGCACTTTGGGAACATCCAACTTCTTTTGCAATTACCTTTTGAGGCTTTCCCTCCTTATGGAGGGTGTCAATGATGGTTTTCTGCACAACTGTCAGCAGCAGTCTTCCCATGACTGTGATTCCTACTGAACCAGACTGAGAGACCATTTAAAGGCTCAGGAACCCTTTGCAGGTGTTATGGCTTAATTAGCCGATTAGAGTGGGACACTTTGAGCCGAGAATATTGCACCTTTTCACAATATTCAAATTTTCTGAGTTTGTGATTTGGGGTTTTCATAAGCTGTAAGCCATAATCATCACAATTATGACAAATCACGGCTTGAACTATCTTGCTTTGCATGTAATGAGTCCCTCTCATATGTTAGTTTCACCTTTTAAGTTGCATTACTGAAATAAATGAACTTTTGCACGATATTCTAATTTTTTGAGTTTCACCTGTATTTGCCCATTGTCTTATTTTGCAAAATGTTTAAATACCATTAGTTCCATGATGCTTTCAGCTTCATTGTCACTAGGCTGGAAGCGTTGTTTTTTGACCAGTGAATGCATGGCTGGCACTCTGATAGATCCAACTTTGTGTCTGAGGGAGCACATATACCCAGCATTGTATTCCTGCATGCTTACACTGGTGAAACTAGTAGTATTTTAGTGTCTGTTTTTAAATTTTTACTTTTAGTAGTTAAATTCCACCTCAGTTGCCTACGTTACTTAAGCCTTCTCTAACCATCCGTTTACATAACTTGAAGTTTAATCAAGATTAATCATGTGATAAATGTTAGCATTCAGAAGCTCATTTATTTTGCATTTTTTCCCAAAAATGGTTTACACTCAGATGGTCTCTAAAAGCAAAATCAGTTTACATCATCTCGTTATTGTAAATGCTCACACTGTTCTTCTAGTATGCATGGTTCACCAAGGATCAGTGCTTCTTCACGTCCACTTGTGTAATTCAAGAGTGGCCATCCGTCTCAGCAGGACTTCATTAGAGGAACTTTTCTGCTTAGTGGTCTTGCAGCATTCTTTGATGTAGAAGCAGGTTGGAGGGGCAAGTCAAATCATATTTAGACTCGTGAACAAAAATTATGTATATTTTTGATTACCAGTCCTTAGAAAGTTGTGGCTGCATTTTTTAAAGGCTTTTTTTCCTTTTGCGATCCTGCCTTTTAAGACACTTTTTTTTTTTTCTAGGCTGGCAACTTTTACTCACTGTATTAAATCACGAAACCTCATTGTCACCCTAGAACAGAACTACAGAACATCACCTCCTTTGTTTCATAGAACGAGTGGAGGAGTTTTGCAGCGCACAACAGCAACTGAAAGCTTTGTAACTATCAGTGATTTTTCTAGATTCAGTACAGTAAGAGTTGTCAGCCTAGGACAGAAAGTGTCTTAAAGGCAGGATCAAAAAGGAAAAAAGCATTTAAAAAAGTGCAGTCGCAACATGTAAGGACTGGCTGTCTGCAGACTGAAAACCCAGAACTGAGAAGTCAGTGGTCTTTGCTCAGTTCTCGGTCTTGCAGGAGGCAGGGGACAGATGCAGGATCGGACCAAAAATGCATCCAGATAGGTATGTAAGAGTGTTTTTTTTTTTTTTTTTTTTTTTTAATTCCCAAACTTCTCTTTTTTTTTTTTTTTGCAGTAATTTGCCATAAAATGCGATCAAGTCCTCACCTAAGTCACAATAGACTTAGGAACCTTCGACTAGAAGATCCTTGAGGGCAGGCACTGATGTGAATGTGCAATACATATGTAAAGCACTGCATAAATTGATAGCACTATATAAGTACCTGAAATAAATAAATAGACAAACACAATGGGGTTATTTACTAAAACTGGAGAGTGCAAAATCTTCACAGTAAGTGAAGTAAGGAAAAAGTAAGTGAACCCTTGGAGTTGATAGCTTGCTGAACTTCTTTGGCAGCCACCCGGGCGTTCTCCTGATAGTATGTCTTCACAGAGATCTTTTTTACACAGCCTGGTTCACATCAGCTGATGCTTCTTATAACCAAAAATCTCAAAATGTTTGTGTCTTTTATCAATCATGCAGTACTAAACCACACTTCCAAACTCATTTAATTTATGGGACTGCAGGTGTGCATATTACTGGTTAGCCTTCATTGGAAGTAATTATTCTGTGTGTTCACTTACTTTTTCCCCCCAGCACTGTGAATATTTAGGCTAGGTTCACATATGTGCGAGTAGTGCCCCTGCCGATCCGTACAAAAATCCGTGCAGCTGCACCATCCACACAGAAGAATGCGGACCCCCGGGCTGGTGCCATTAATTCTAATGGCACGCTGTCCACACTGGAAATCGCAACCGCACTGGGAACCGAGGTTCCCGTGCGGGATGCGATTTCCAAAGAAGTGCAGGGACTTCTTTCCTGCGTGTCCCGGGGCACGGGAGTCCATTCAAATAAAAGGGCTCTCGTGCCCGCGCAAAACACGGCCCGCACAGCCGCATATATGTGAATGAAGGGTAATGGTTCTGTTTAAAAGATACACAAGACATTAGAATTGTTAAGGTGTTATCAGCTTAGAGGATAAGTTCACCTTTCATAACATGTTACACCTATATTCAGGGTGTAACATGTTACATAGTTACATAGTTAGTCTGGCTGATAAAAGACTAAAAGTCCATCCAGTTCAACCATAGAAAAAAAAAGTTATAATCCCATACCCACAGTTGATCCAGAGGAAGGCAAAGAAAACCCAGCAAAGCATGGTTGGGGAATCAAAGTGGGGAATCTTCTCCCCGTTAGCTGTCACACCCGGCTGCGTCATTCATTCACGGTGTTCTGTGTATGGGAAAGGAAAACTACAAGACCCAGCAGCCTTTGTGGCCGTCGGCTTGAAGTTTTCAATGAACTACCACAGCACCATGGTAGTTCATTGAGCCTTCCTGTCAGTAAGTATCTGCTTGCCTGCACGGGATGTACTAGCAAGCAGATATAGTGACAGGTCAGGGGGATACCTGCATGGTACCAGCAATCTGCTGATCGCTGATGGAATGCTTTAGAGGCTCCACAAACAAAAATATAATAAATGCACGTTTTTTTTTACCTGCAAAAAAATGTGCATTTTTATATTTTTGTTAAAAGGTGAACGTATCCTTTAAACACATTGTGTTTGTTTAGATCAAGAAACTTTACTTTTTCCTTGTTTATGAATTTAGAGTCTAATCCTTTTTGTATAAATTGCATATTCTTGTACTGCAGAAACTATAGAATCTTTGCCATTAACTATGGATCCAGGCCAGGCACAGAAGTTGTAGTAGTAGTTGATTTTAAGTCTCTTGTTGATCCCTGTTTGTCACACACACCTTTTTATTACAGTTTTGTCAGCCCAGTGGATGGCAGCTATGCGCCGAGAAGAATCCTCCAACATTCTTCATCGCTGTTCTGACAGACATCAATTCAGAACGTCATTACTGTAGCTGCTTCACCTTCTGGGAGGAGTGTGCACCGGTATGTCTTCCTTATCCCATTTCTATCCATAGTTCTGGTCTTCCTGTATTATGTTGTTTCTACTTGCATTGTCTATAACACTGCACAAGGAAGTCTGTTCTGAGATTGCTTCATTGGACAGTAAGGGCATTTGACAGGGAAAAGCAGCTGATGGAGCTTAGCTATGAAATATAGCTTAAGTATAACTGACACCGCAGCTTCTGCACCCAACCATTGTGAGAAAATTAAGAGGCTTTGGCGTGCAAGGAAACAACTGGATTAACGTATTAAGTAATATCTAGAGATACCGCCTCAGACATTTTATCCCTGGCCAGATCTACTGCTTTGACATTGTATATTGTGTATAATAGCAGTAGGTCAGAATTATCTTGTTATGTCTCTGCTATGCCCCTTTTGCTTGCTGTAAAGGAAAAATTAGCCTGTGAATATTGTGTACAGAATCATCTACCCTTTAGTGTATCAAACACACATGCAGCGCTAATAAATTCAATGATACATGCAAATAATCATACGGTGCATATAATAAATGGTAAAGTGAACACCACTTAATACTGAAATAGATCTTAAAAGTTGTCTAAAAGTCCAGGAATAGTAATGATGGTGAATAAATATCTCCAACAAGAGTGTTCTTGCGGTGCATAATACAAAATTTCAAGGCAAGATGGTGACAAAATAAGTGACTTCTGTGACCATATTCCTCCCACAGAAATGAGTGTAGATTGCGCTAACCAGAAAGCGCAATGGTAATGCACATTTGAGTGTTAACCAACTCCTGGTCATCCGGCTATTGAAATTGGATCACAGAGAATGGTCATCTGGCCTGCATCAGCTGGGCAAACATCGCAACCTCAGGGTCTCCAGATACCAGGGGACGTGTAGTCGTCTCGCCACCAGGGGGAGTATGTAGTAGTAAGCAGCTGATAGCAGGGAATTCCAAAATGGCCGCTGGCTGTCCACAGGGGCCATGCGGTGTGATGTCACAGGGTATAAGACTGTGACGTCACACCGCATGGCCCCTGTGGACGGCCGGTGGCCATTTTGGAATTCCCTGCTACCAGCTGCTTACTACTACATACTCCCCCCGGTGGCGAGACGACTACACGTCCCCTGGTATCTGGAGACCCTGAGGCTGCGATGTTTGCCCAGCTGATGCAGGCCAGATGACCATTCTCTGTGATCCAGTTTCAATAGCCGGATGACCAGGAGTTGGTTAACACTCAAATGCGCATTACCATTGCGCTTTCTGGTTAGCGCAATCTACACTCATTTCTGTGGGAGGAATATGGTCACAGAAGTCACTTATTTTGTCACCATCTTGCCTTGAAATTTTGTATTATGCACCGCAAGAACACTCTTGTTGGAGATATTTATTCACCATCATTACTATTCCTGGACTTTTAGACAACTTTCAAGATCTATTTCAGTATTAAGTGGTGTTCACTTTACCATTTATTATATGCACCGTATGATTATTTGCATGTATCATTGAATTTATTAGCGCTGCATGTGTGTTTGATACATTTACTTTTGAGGCTCCTGGTGTTTGCCTTTCATGCTAGTCGCTTTTTGGGTTTTTTATCCAGCGCTCGTATCTTTTCTGTTTTTATATCTACCCTTTAGTGTTTGTCCTTGTTCACATGGGCTGTTTTTGCCTGCACAGGTGTTCCGTGCATCGCCGCATGCAGGTAGTCCCATTTATATCTTTCGGGATGCAGGGGCTGCACAGACACAGTTGCTTCCAGTTGGACCCCCTGTCCAGGGTTATGCACCTGCACGGATGTCTAATTGGAAGCAGCAGCTGTGCCTGTGAAGCTGCTGCGTCCCAGTAGACATGAATGGGACTGCCTGCATGGGGATGCACAGAACACCTGTACATCCTGTGCAGGCAATAACAGTTCTTTGCATAGGTGTATAGTACACTTTAGTATGCCTGCATGAACAAGGTCTTTATATTAAAACGAGGCTTTTATGGTAAAAAAAAAAATCCTTATTCAATCTTCAAAAAATCATAACACCTCTTATATTTATATTTTGGACTTGTTTTCTGTGACAATTTGTCTGTAAAATTTTTTCATAGAATCTTATTGATCAGAGGGATGGAGAAACAGAGGAAGGTTCCCCTTTACCATCTGCAGCTCAGCTGTATGCTCCTAAGACTTTGGTGCTTGTATCACGTCTGGACCATCCGGAGGTCTTCAGGGTAAGCAACTGTTTCTGGTTTGAAATGACCTTCCTTTTCTCTGTCTGGGGTCACACCTTCAGTATGTTTTATGAATATGCGGCTCTAGAATACCCTGTGTACAAGTTGGTAAGTTTAGTTTTCAATGCACTTACCATGCAAGTGTGTGTTGATGATCTGCTGCTAGACAATGAATATAATGAGATATCTACTTTGAACCATGTGGCATGTTGAGATCTTTGCAGTGTTGACAATTTTTCTTGCCCCATATAGTCCCACTGGTAATTGATGGCAAGAGGAAGGTCTGGTTTGGACTAGCTCATAAAAAGGTCCCTCTAGACCAGGGGTGTCAAACTGGCCCTCCAGCTGTTGCAAAACTACAAGTCCCATCATGCCTCTGCACTTGGAAGGCATGCTTGTGACTCAGTCTTGCAATGCCTCATGGGACTTGTAGTTTGGCAACAGCTGGAGGGCTGCCAGTTTGACACTGTGCTCTAGACATGTGCTTCACTTCCCCACCTTCTCTATTGGAGTAAAACTGGCCAAAGATGGATGGAAGTTCAGCTGGTTCAGCAGGGATGTGCCAAATTCTGATCAATTCGTGGCCGTTCCCGCTTGACAGAAGTTGATATAACTCAAACGGGCTTGTTGCAAATTTTTCTTGATCAGCTGCTGCTGATCAGTGTATTCTGACAGGGGAGAGTCCCCACTGTCAGAATACAATGTCTAAGTGGGGAGGATTCCTCTATTTACCTCAATAAATAGAGGAATCTGTTTTTTTTTTTTTTTTTTTTCTTTTTTTTTTTTTTTTCTTCATTGTTTTTTTTCCTTGTTCGGTCTGTTGTCTGAATGGAAAAAAAAATGATCTAACTATTGCCATTAGTGAAAATATACAAGGCTGTAAATTAGGCAGTTGAACCATGCAAGCAGCTAAAGGTGGGCACAGCATTTTATTTAAAGAAGAAGGACCAAAGCCTTTTTGTCCCTACTGCTCCCGTGAGTTACAGGAGTGCACTTAGTTCCCGTTTTCAGCCAACAGTACTGAGCTGGTGCAGGCTCTGAGAAGATCGTGACTTTAATATCGGTATCCGCCCAGAAGCATGACTGGCAGTTGGCTGAGGCTCTCCGCATGCTGCTGAGAGCCTGAGCCAGACACTCCTGCCCCCTCGACAGCCCCATAATACAGTGAGTGCTGGAGGGGCAGAACCGAGAGCCGGTGACTGACGGTCACTGGTTCTCTGCAGACCGAAGACTGAGAAGTGAGCGATCAGATGTCTTTGAATGCTCAGTTCTCGGTGTAAAGCTGGCAGGGGACAGCTGCACCTGGGATCAGTGCTGCAGCCATGTAGCAATTCTCATTAGTCAGCACTGGCATGTGACTTCTTTAACCAGTCGGAACTGCTCCGATCCATCCCGGAAGCCATACAGAAAAGGGAGGAAAAAGAGTGGGGATTTGTAAATCCCCAGACCACTACATCGGCCGTGTGGGCACTGCGGTACAGTGGGGAGGGTTTCATTTTTTTCTGTAAAGGTAAACTTACTTTTAGTTTTTTATTTTAGACTTCATTTTTGCTTTAATGCTTTGTGTATTAAACAGAAAGATGTACTGATGCTGCATATTTCAATTTACAGGATTCCCTGGGCCTGATTTATACCATTCATACGGATGGATTAAGTGTGTCTCTGGAGAATGTTGTCGGAAATTTGCTAACCTGCACTGTCCCTGTCACTGGAGGTTCCCAGGTCAGTGTTTCTCTTCTAAATAATTTTCGCATTATTCCTTGGGGTCTGTCACAAGGGGCTCCTCCTAGCATTCACTTTCTGCTTCTTAGGACCTAGTAGTTGTTAGGTGCTTCAAGATTGTGAATGTTGCTTTCTGACTCCGTGTTGATATGTTTTTTTTTTTTCCCAGTCTGACCTGGAGCAGGATGGTATGGTATGCACTTCATTCTAATTCCTGCCACACTGCACACTGCCTGCTTCTCCTCTTCCATCACATCCTTTGATATGGGGGAAGCATCCTATCCCCAAGCACTAAGATTTCAATAAGACGTTTGGGAAGGCATGAGAGCCACTAACAAAATGAAACCACAAAATTTGCTTTGAACTTTTAATAAACATAAGAAATGAAACAAAATATATATAGTTTTAGCAGTTATTATTATATTGAGAAAAGTTTGTAATTTCTCCTATTTCTGAAGCCACTTCCAATAAGAGCAAACATCTACCTGCAACCTTAGTGCAACAGGCATAGAAAACTTGAGATAGACATGACTGGAGCATCAAAGCCTAACATGTCTGCTTTTGTTTTCTTTACAATGGCTGCTGGAATAGCCGCTGTAATCAGATTGGTTGTTAAGCACCATTGGGCTATAAACTATAAAGGCCATTAGCCAAAAACTCAATGACAACTAAAACTTTTTTTTTTCTGTAATTGAGTGGGGGAAGGGTTAAAATGTCTGTCTGGTTTGGATTGCTTTCTGTCTCTTCCTTGTGAAAAATTCTTCTCATTTCATGTCCTGGTAACGGGGCAGAGGGACAGGAAGTAAAATTTACTCCAATGGGGGCTACAACTGTACTTTGTTGTTGACAACCAACCCTCATCCCCCTTTTCCATTTATTGTCTTGGTGTAAGAGGGATAAAAAGTTAGGGTAAAATTCTTCGATTGCAGAAAGCAACCTGACTGAAGTTCTAACCCTTCTCATTCTATCCATAACTCCTAAGTTCTGATGGTGTATATCTGCTGAATCATTTCAAATTCAGATTGGATCTGAAATTCTTGAAGCATCTTGGAGATGTAGGTATGTCTGCTGAGTCATGTAGCTCCTTCAAATACAAAGAGAATACGTTAGTCCAAAATGTGTTGTGCTATTTTTCCTTTTATCAGTTAACAGGAGGTAACTCTCAAAGTATACCCATAACTGTTAAAAAAGTATTCATTGTGTGAAGTGAGCTATTATAATCCACTCGTATTCAGGCACCATCCCAAATCACATAAGAACCAAAAGGGGCCAATCCAGCCTATGGGACAACGCCCAGGGTAAAGCAGTTGTGCTGTGGTGCTCGTGCTGACAGTGCAGAGTGACAAGAGAGAGGGGCTCCTTTGTCTTCAACTTCTCCTTCACTGTCCAATCACATGCTGTGGGAGGGTTAAGACCTGTGTTTCCTAACTTCAGCAGTGAAAATCATGTCTTGTATATAGCGCTGACAGTTTACGCAGCGCTTTATGTATATTGTACATTCACATCAGTCCCTACCGTCAAGGCGCTTACATTCTAAGGTCCCTACCTAACATGCATAGTAGTGGTGCACCGAAATGAAAATTCTGGTGCTGAAACCAATACTGAAAATTCAGAATGCATGTGGCCGAAAACCGCACCGAAACCGAAATGTCTGCATATGTGGGGGTGGGGAGGCTCCAATTTTTTTTTTTTTTTTTTTTTTTTTTTAACTTATGATTTTATTGCTATCACATACGGGACCAGTAGTCCCCTATGTGATAGCATATGAGTGACAGGACATCTTTGTAGGGGGGAGGGGGGCGCAGTGTGTAAGGAGGGGGCAGGAGAGGAGCAGTGTGTATACAGTGAGGTAACAGTGTATACAGAGAGGCTCCCTCACTGACTGTCACTATTTGTCAGTGCCAGTTTTTAAATGCAATTGCTGACTTTTTTTTTTTTTTCTTCACCATTTTTGCTTGGGAAAAAAACTAAAAAGAAACTTTTTTGCTTCTTTTAGCTCGGGGAAAGCGACAGCTGATTCTCTGAGCTATAGTGAAGAAAAACCCCCCAGCAATTGCATTTAAAACCGTCACTGACATATAGTGGCAGCCAGTCACTATATACACTTGTGCTCTCCTGCCTTTCTCCACCGCCACAACCCCCCGCCCCCCCCCCCCCCATATACATCTGCAGTACACACAGACCCTTGTTTCAGCATCTGCATTGAAATTAATTTTTCCTATTGGCAAAATGCCGATAGAGCTATTTTCGGCCGATATGTTTTGTTGGCCAAAATTTTGGTGCAGCCCTAAAGCATAGATACACATTCAGGGGCCACTTAACCTACCAGCATATTTTTTGGAGTATTGGAGTAATCCCGTGCGAGCGTAAAGAAAACCCCATGCAGATATTGTCCAGGTTAGGATACAAACTGATGACCCTAGTGCCACAAAACCATACTACACATTCTACAGCTACAAAACTTTGCCATTGTGCAGCATTGAAAGTAGTTGTTTTGAGTGAGCCAGTCGTAAGCAATTGCTAACCTTCTTGATATGTCTTAAAAGGTAACCGTTTTTTAATTCTTTTTTTTTTAATGTATTATTGCTCCCTGTCACTTGACCACTATCCCCCTGCATTGGCAAACACAGGGCGTCTGGTGGGCATGTACATTCTCTTCTAGCACCCTCATTCATGAGAAAGCATGTGACATGCATACGTCCACAAGAAGGGGCAATGAAAGGCGGACCCCACCGAGTTGGGCAGAGCTAGCTGGCTGGGGAGAAATGGGACCGAGAGAGAGGAGGGCTTTTGAATACCTTGATTGGATAGTTGTTGCTAATCAGCCTTTTATAAAACTAAAAAGCGGACAACACAGACGTTGATGAACAGTAATCATAGAAATATTGGCAAGATTTTAATTTTTGCCTGGAATTACACTTTAATATCTATATCATATTCTTTTTTTTCAAAGGCTTTCCAGATATTTCAGTTAATAGTTAAATCTTATTAGATCCTACTTACTTTTTTTTTTTTTTACAGTATAACTTTTTGGAGTTCACCATTGCTATCTCCCTGCCGTAGTTCCTGATTTTGTGCTTGTATTGAACTCTTGCTCCTCTTGCTAAAACAGATGTTTGCAATCAACCTGTTGCATTCTCCATAGTATTATGAAAAATTCCTTATGAATAGGATGTACCTTCCCTAATTACTGCAGAAGATCTGGAACTGTACTGGAGTCCCTGAAAGATGGAAGAAGAGTGATTTAATTGCACCATTTACTGAAAAATATGTTTGGGTCAAACAATTTAATGGGTCTAGATGAGAAAATATGTTTCTATTTTATATATAAAAAGATTAAAGTAGGCATCAGCATCTAGGTGGAGTATACTAAAGTAAATCGTTCAACGGCAGTGGAAATCTAATGTAATTTTCCAAGGGGACAACTTTTTGTTTTGGGTTTGTGAACTTTGGGCCAGCATGTCTAAAAAAAAAAAACAAAGAAAATAAAGAAAACATCAACAACTATTTCATAAATGTTTGCTTAGAGAGTAAAATGATCATTGCACTTGGACTTGTTCAGCGACAAACAGGTGCACATTGTAGGTGTGATCAGGGGCATACCTGAAAGTAGCCATACACTATATAATCATGGTTGTACAATCTACCAATATCTATGTAGTATGAGTTGAGGTGATTATCCTTTTTATTATATAGTGTAATAAAGCTAAAGGAGGTTGTACCGAATTTGTACAATAAAATTATGTAGTGTATGGCCCGTCGTAGACTGAGCAGAGCTGTGTTCTGACTGCAAACTAAGCTGCTCGCTTGAATTAGTACGTTTCTGCAATTCTGCCTCTCTGTGCGCCTGGTTTGATAAATTCCCATGTTTATATTCTGCTGTATAAGCCGCACCCTAATGTTTTCCATCTGTCCTACACATATCTGTAATTGGAAGACTGCTTTGTCTGCACAAATTCAGAATATTCTCCATGCAAGCTTAGTGGATGACCAAATACCTACACAAATGTTATACTTGTAATAATTTCTTAATAAAAGACAAATGTTTTTATATTTACAACGATAGTTTTACCCTTGGCCAGTGTAGTTGTCAGCAATGTCATTAGAGTAACACAAGAGCTTATTTACACAGTTTAAATTTTAAAATTGCTTTCCATCAAAATTTACACGAGCATATTCCTCTTGAGCTACATGGCTGCTCTATTGCTGATCTTTAATAGTAAATTGGTTTTCTGCTGTCCACCCTGACACTCCCTGTCCTTACTCCTCACTTTCTTCTGAGCCTTATTGCTGTGTACAATCTACCATTACTCCCTTTTCCTATCTGTGCCTTCTAGTATTCAGCATAATAAAGTGTCTTTCCTTGCTGTGCCTTTTATCTTATAGGTATATAGATATCACTTCTGTTTTGCAATATCTGAATATTTCTATTGGTGCTATTTGCAGAGAACGATATCACTGGGAGCAGGGGATCGTCAAGTGATCCAAACCCCAATATGTGACTCTCTTCCAATCAGTAACTGCAGCGTGGCCCTGTTATTTCGACAGCTTGGTATGCATCTATATCTAGTCCTGTTTGTGATGGTTGTACGTCTTGTACACGTAGCCACTAGATATACATATAATCAATATAACCAAACAATTGTATTACATTTACAGTAAGCTAGATAGCATATTCTGTACTAATTTTTCTGCATGTCTTCCTGTGGTAGTCATTCGTTGAGAAGCTGTAAATATTGTGAATTATGAGAATGGACATCTTATGTACTGGCAGGAGCATGCTTAAATACTTCTGGAAAACTTGCTGTGACATCAGAAACTTGTGGGCTGTAAGTGATCACAAAGTCACAGAAATTCCCCCATGTCTGCATACTTTGCAGCTATGCATTGCATTTATGCATTTACATGAGATCTAGTGTAAATGGTTATCTTTTTGCCATTATGTGATGGGCATACTTTTTATTACACCCACATACTTGCTAAATTCCATTTGTCTACCTACAAAAGATCATCCAACCCCTTCTGTAGAAAATAACTGAAGTGTCTGTTTTCACTTAGTTATAATTCCTTTCTTTTCTTAGGCATCACCAATGTATTGTGCCTCTTTTGTGCGGCTCTCACTGAGCATAAGATCCTATTTCTTTCCCGGAGTTATCAACGCTTGACAGAAGCCTGCAGAGCCCTTCTGGCTATAATGTTTCCACTTAGATA